AGCTTCTCTGCCTTGGTGTCCCCATCTCCTGAATGGGAAGAATATTTGGTCACAGATCTGTAAGGGTGGTCCTGGACAGGAGGTCAGGCAGTGTGACAAAGGAAGAAAGGCAATATCCACCCATGTGGAACAGTGTCCTCAGGGGTCATATCATCACGTGACCTTCCTGGAAGCTGGGCTCTTTGGTATCAGATGAAGCAGGGTGCTACAGCAACATTCTGTGCCCTGGGCTAGTCCCAGAGTCCTGACCTGCCAAAATGTTGGGGCATAGATGACAACAGTAAGCCTAGAACTCTGGCAAAGGGGGTAGGGTGAGGGTGGAATAGTTATGTCAGCACTGACCTCTGGCTCTATTCTACTCCCTTGTACCCAGCAAGGTGAGGCAGCCTGGTCCTGCCCTCCCTTTTCTGAGCTGGGAATGTATACAGTGGATTCTCTTCAGGTGAGAGAGACATAGGAGGCATGCAGGTCGGGAGGAAGTTGGTCTTTCTAGGAGGCTCTGGCAGGGTCTAGTCTGCATGTGCACTTGGCAAATGCTGGCCTGCAGTAGCCTGGGGTTTTCTATAAGGACAGAAAAGCATAAGGTGAGATTATTGCAGAGCCCATGGCTTATTTCAAGGACTGGCTGCAGCCTCAGAAGACCATGTGAGTGTTGGACCTGGTACTGCAGGGATGGGAGCATTTCACCACAGAAGTGGGGCATGGGAAAACAGGGCAGGGTGTGGTAGTGGCAGCAGATGGGAGAGAATGTGCCAGCTCCAGATGAAAGGATCTGCAGGCCTGGAAGGACTTGGGGGCTGTGTGGACAATGAACATGGGCACACATGGTGTTTGTAAAGCTACTCACAGAACAGAGGAGAAGTGGTCAGGTAAGACAGGAGTGAACACTCACTCACTACCTGCTACAGACTGGCCTCAGGGAACTCAGAGCCTAGTGGAAGACACAAGTCTGAACGAAAATAGACTCTGGGACATCAGATCTGGGCTTGTAGACTCCATTCAGCGAGTCAGGGGGTCTATGCAGTGACTTTCCACTGAGCAGGTTTCCCCACAAGGGGAAACCCCCTATTGGTAATAATGCCAGGAACTTTTCATGAAAACCCATGAAGCCAGGCCCAGGGAACAAACCAGGAGGGAAATGGTTCTGAACAACATTTCTTTGCCCCTGGGCTACTGGGTTCTACCCCCCCACATCCCTTCCTCTCCTGTGTCAGAGTGATTTAGCTTTGTTTAGGGCAGGAAGTCAATAAAGACAAGATGAGATAGGACAAGCAAGGGGCTTGTGATATTCAAAGCAGTTTGAGCCTGTCTTGTGCCCCATCATGGGCAGTACCCTTTCCTGCGCACCCTTATTCTCCTATTCTTTCTCTTTCATCTCCCTCCTTCCTGTTTGGTGTTTAGACCAGGTGGTGTGCCCATGGTGTCTGGGATGGCTTTTGGGTGAATTCTCAGGGACAGCTCACAGTCAGGGGTGGAGTTGTAAGAAGCCAGTCCTACATCTCAGGAGGTGGCTCTGGCTTTATCTATGATAACACACAAGCCAAGTGTTTCTATGAGGCCTGGGTCTTCAGCGAAGGAAACGTGTGAAGCCCCAAAATCTGGATCCAACTGTTTGGAGAAGAAACTAAGTTCAGAATGGGATAGCAGCTGCTTTAAAGCCCTTTTCAAAACACTGGGGTTCATGATGACATGCACTTATCTTTTGGGGGGGTCAGATAGTTTCAGGGGTGTCAAGATAGGGTTTCTCTGTGTACCCTTGGCTGTCCTAGAACTCAGATATCCGCCTGCCACTGCCTCCTGAGTGCTGGGATTAGAGATATGAGATACTACTGCCTGGCTACACTTAGCTTTTTTTATCCTAAAGGTTTTTGTTTTAATCATAAGCATCATTATGGGCATTTAAACATAAGCTCTCATAAGCTAATGGAACCACCTAGCTATTTTACTTATTCAGAACTGGATGGGAAAGAAACCTGTCAACAGAGTCTAGCATCCCAACAGGTCTTGGTGGTGGTAAGATCTAGAATGGATGCTAGTAAAGAAAGGGGCACAAGGCAATCTGGGGGAAGGGAGAGATGACTGATTCCTTACAACCTGCTCCACAGTATACAGAGGGTCACCAAGAGTCTCAAAGCTGTCACTACGGATCAAGGGCATACTGCTTAGGACAGAGAGGAGCCATGCAAAGGGGAGGGCTGGGAGGAAGGTGGCCATTTCCACAGCTAGGCTACAATGAGAACACACCAAGCAGCTCCCAGGTAAGCAGAACCTGCAAAGCCATGGAGGAGAGACTAGGACAGGAAGAAGGGTCTGGAACCAAATCTGAAGTCTTATTTATTTATTTATTTATTTATTTATTTATTTATTTATTTATTTTGAGACAGGGTTTCTCTGTATTTTTGGAGCCTGTCCTGAAACTAGCTCTTGTAGACCAGGCTGGCCTCAAACTCACAGAGATCCCCCTGCCTCTGCCTCCTAAGTGCTGGGATTAAAGGCGTGCACCACCACCGCCCAGCTCCAAATCTGAAGTCTTAGGGAACTTGGTAGCTTGGGAAAGGCAGGGAGGCTACCTCTCAAACACATGTACACAGCAGGCCTATGGTGAGATGAGGCCATGGGTATGAGGGCAGGCAGCCGCCACTTAGCCTCGGCAAAGGCTTCCTGGCTCCCCACACCTGCTTTAGTCTCCTCCTCACTTCTTTCAGCACCTTTGTTGCCAAGCAGGTTTTAATGACCCTGAAGATATACAATTTTCTTGGCTGTTGTTCAAGTCTTTGGGAGTGATGCTCACTTCAGCAGGAAAGCATAGGAGGCTGTGGGCTGGAAGCTAACACTGTGCCTAGTAGCTGAGGCTGCAGCCCACTTAGGGACCAAATTCCAGGCTCAGCCGACACCAAGGGCCACGCTGAACAAAGGAAGTTGGTCCTACGGACACATGGGATAGCTGCACTGTCATTCTCTAGACCACCCCTGTGAGCACAGTCCCTGTGAGCACAGTCCCTGTGCTTATGTGATGCTCCAGATGGGCTTCCTGGCCACCATCCCTGAAGCAAGGCCCTGGGTTTGCAACATGTTCGACTTCTTTCCTTGTCATTTGTCTCACAGACACCAACTGTCCTTTTATGCTAACCTACTTCTTTCTCTCCCCATGTCTTTTTACTGTGACTCCTGATGTCTTTATTTGATTTCACCTTGGCTTAGCCTAGTCTCTCTTAGCATATATGACTGTCCCTACTGAACCATGAGCCCCTCTCAGGCATGAGGACACCCTTCTTGTAGCTAACCCACACTTGCTCTCATCACAGTGCGGAACCTCATGTCTAGGCTCATCTTAGAATCAACCAGAGACTATGTGAATTCCTGGCACGACACTAAATCACTTCCCTGGGTTCTACCTATCAAGTGACACACACTCCAAGCATTTAAACCATTACTCATGGTTTCTTTTATTGAAATAATGCATCCTTTTAGTGTGGCCCCTTGGACTCTTTCCTGGAGCTGGAGCTAAGAATACAGAGTCACAAATGCAAAAATGCCTCAACATTCCACAATGGTGACATACTCAGACCCAGACCTAAGAAAATGCCCTTGAATGTTCTGCAATTCTGTAGCAAACAGTTCATCTACAGTCCTCCGCTAACAGCTCAAAAGGAATAAGTAGAAACTAGTTGTGTGTGTGTGTGTGTGTGTGTGTGTGTGTGTGTGTGTAACAGTCAAGGAAGGGCCAGGGTTGTCTAAAACCAAATTCTGAAAGCTCGGTGGAGGGAGCTTGCTAGAGGTGCCTTCTAAGGAACCAGGCTACCTGTATGGTAGGGCAGAGGTAACTCACCCTTCCTATATACCCAGCACTGCTGAGCACTATGAGAAGGAAGTCTCTGGGCATTGAATTGCAAACCCTAGACAAAGGTGGACACCAGACAAAAACAACTTGGAACCTGGGCAAGTTTTATGGTCACCTATCCAAACTTTTCAGGGAGGAAATGAGAAGCCACCACTTTACTCCTGAGCACAGGGTGAGAAGCAGGTCAAGACTGGAGCCTGGAACTCGAGGGCAGTGATACAGCTTCACGTGATTTGATACGGTTCTCTCGATCACACTTTGACTCCTGAGAAGACTGAGGCCCAGAATGAAGTCAATACCTGAGCACAAGCTGTTTCCAGGGAAGTGAGCTTGGCTCCACCCTTACCTTTGAGCCTTGTGGAGAAGATCATGGGAAGAGAGAGGGCTGTTTCAGCTCTGTGGCAGATGCAGACTCCAGGAGGTTAGGTCTCTTTGTGGGTTACCATGGAGCTGTCTACAGATTGGTCTAGTCCTCCCCACACTGACCTGTGTCAAGGTGTCAGGCAGGACCTCCCTTCAGGAGCAGGGTCTCCTTGTCTCCAAGTGACCCCATTGAGTGCTGCCATGTGGTGACCCTGTGCCTGTTCTGAGCTTTAGCCACAGAGTGCCTGATGCTTTTCCACCTTTTTCCTTGGAACTCTGCCAGCCGCTACAAGATCAAGCCTAGACCAGCCCAGCAGTAGTGGCAAGCTAGCCCAACAGTCCCAGTCTAGGTCCCAAGGATGTCTGCCTGGGCAGATTAGCACACCATCCTCCTATGTGAATCTTGGGCAAAGACACAGGACTCTGGCTGTTTACATAGTATAAGGTAAGCAGGGGCACCCAACAACCATGCTCTTGCACCCAATTGCCTGCTCTCTGTGTGAGGATTACTTCCCCCTTAAACACTGCCCCAGGAAAACCAGAACACAAAAGCAGAAATGGCTGTGCTCTGTGCCACTGCCAAGCTCCAGACAGGACAGCCCATACCTCCACTCCCATACCACCCCCAACTACAGTCCCCAAGGCCCAGGGAATCAAGTATTCAGATTCTCTCCTGTGGACAGGCAGGGGTCTGCAGAAGGACAGGACTGGTAATGGGAACATCACTGTCCAGGAGGCTTCAGGCATTAACTGTACAAGTTTCTAAGCGAAGAAGAGCAGGGAGGGAATGACTCACCGAGGGCACAGGCAAGCTGCCGTGCCGGCTGAGAAAGGAGTTAGACACGGACACACTGAGGCCCTGAGCGGCATTGCCGTCCTCGGGGGTGAAGGCCACTTTAGTTTGCTGGACACAGTAGGAGACAGAGAAGGAAGAAGCAGCATAGGAGGCCTGCTGGGCAGAGGGTGGAAGAGAAGGCAGGGAGGAGGAGAAAGCAGAGAATGGTCAGCATAGGCAGTGTAGCTGTGGGGTCTAATATGCTTAGGGGAGTCCTGACTCTGCCAAAGGCTGCCGAAGGAGATTTTAGTATCAGCTTTCAAAAGACTGCAGAGGACAAGTGGGCTGAGGCCACACAGACTTGGGCTGACCCAGCACCCTGAACTCTTTAGAGTGGAGTAGATCTGCATGGTCATTTTGGCCTCAGAGCTCAGAGAGAGTCAGTCCATATCAGTCCACCTGTGCTTTAATCTGGAGCCCATCAGAGACCACCTGCTGCTGGTCTTGGGCCTTTCTTTCTTTCTTTCTTTCTTTCTTTCTTTCTTTCTTTCTTTCTTTCTTTCTTTTTCTTTCTTTGTGACAGGCTTTCTCTGTGTAATAGTCCTGACTGTCCTGGAACTAGTTGTGTAGACCAGGTTGGCCTTGAACTCACAGAGATCTGCCTGCCTCTGCCTCCTTCACACTGGGATCCACCATCCCACCACCATCCAGCTTGAGCATTTCTTAAAGAGCTAGGTGGAAACTGTGGTGAACTCTTGCACCTTCTGTGTACATTTGGGGGGAGGACTAAATGAAGTTCCATGCACATAGCACTGCAAGTTCTGTCTACTGCTGTAAGTGTAATTGCTACCACATTTGTGTGTAAGATGTGCACAGCTCCTGGATGTGTGTGCTGGAGATAAGACAGAACCAGCAACTAGCACAGCCTGTCCTGTGGTAGGCCAGGGCTCACCTGGAGCTGGGCTTTGACTTCTAGGTCTTTGGATAGCTATGGCCTGGGGATAAGTTCTAGTTCCCAGCCTCTTTTTGGAGATCTCTTGGAGAGATCAGGAACTATGATGAGGGCTGTGTATACCCGAACCTGCCTAGGGAGGTCCCTAACTAGCTGATCTCTCCCTACCCCACTGCATGGTAGGATAGCCGGCCTCCTGTTACACCCTCGGAGTAGTTCTGTTCTACATGCATGTGAGGAACCTGCCTCTAGCTGTTCGGAGTCTGTGGACTGTCCAGGCCATGGATGAGCCCTCAATGAGGACTGGTCAGCAGTGGTCCCAGGTTCACATTTCTGTTCTCATAAAGAAGATCTGGGGAACACTGCAGAGTGGTGTAGTACCATGGACAGGGCTGGGACTCCAGGTTCACAGATCTCAGTGTTCAATCTTTCCTCTCTCAGGCCTAGAGATCCCTGCGGAGCTGCCTGGCTATGGCCTGCAAAGGCTGAACAGCTCAGAAGCCTGAGACTAAGCCAAGCCCTAGGCACTACAAGGTAAACGGGGCTTACTTCCTCTCACAGAAAAGGGCTTTAGCTTGCCACGCATGTCCCTTCTCTAGCCAGAAACTGGACTGACTGGCCAGCAAAGTAGTAAAGCAGCCCACCCAGCTCTGCAATGATTTAGACTTTGGCTCTGCAGAGTTTGGTTCTAACAGTGGCTCTGACCAGCAGCAAGGAGAACAAAGAAGCATTGGCAGGTTCAGTGCTCTGCTGCCCGGGTGAGTGCACGCCAGTCGGGATCCATCACAGAGGTGTGAAAAGGAGGACACTGCTGGGTTTGCAGCACAAAGTATCTCTATCTGAAGCCATTCTGCTTCAGTGGAACTTGTTCCCATGGGGCCATCCCTGGCCAGGACCGGGATGGAAGTCACTCCATACAGTTAGGCCCATTATGGAAGTCAAGTCCACAGATGGCTGCATACAGACAGTGCTCTGTGCTTTGATTGAGTCCCTCCTGTCTATGAGGTTTATGTTAGAGGCAAAGAAGAAAGAAAAGACACAGAGACTGTCAGTAGAGAAATCAAACATTCCAAGCACAAGTCTGCCCCAGCTACACAGGCTTCTCTGGAGAGGCCCTCTGCCCCCAGGGAAGATGGCAATGTATCTGGGGAAGAACTGGAGGCACCATGTGGGACATAATGACTTGAACACATCTAATGCATGAAAAGCAGGTTCAACCTGGCCCCAGCAGGACCGTTCTGGTTTTGGAAGCTCTGGTCACCTGCAGCAGTGCCAAGGACACAGATGGGGAACTGCTTACCAGCTGCCGCTGCTTGGGGGGCAGAGCGGGTGGGGGGGCCAGCTCCTGCGTGGAGTCGCTGCTGCAGAAGGAGTCGCTGAAGCCGTAGACCTCCATGAGCATTTTATTCTTCTGCTGGTAGATGTGCTCGCTCTGCGGGGTCTGGTAGAACATGGAGGGCTGTGGCTCTGAGTAGTCTTCGAGCAGCTGCATGTAGGCCAGCACTGTAGACAGAGGGGGCTGCTGTTCTCACCACAGTGGAGCCCACAGAGCCCTGCAGAGCCGGGATGCGACTCTGGTGCTACTACAAAGGTGGACATGTGCCATCACCCAGCTGGATGCGCTCACAGAACCCTCCTGTGCATGGCAGACTCTGGGAGTGATGACTGTCAGTTAGGCTCTTCCACTGTGACAGATGTCCCACTCTGCTGGGTATCGACATTGGGGAGGTTGTGAAAATGGGAAATTTTGTCCTTTCCATTCAGTGCTGTTGTGAGCTGAAACAGCTCTACAAACAGAAAGTTCTGTTAAAGTAAGCAAAAGGGGCACTTTGCACTCTCCCTGCCTCAGCCTGCCCTTGGGGTCATCCTCAGCTGTATTATCTTGTATCAGATAAGAACACAAGTAAGGTTCCTGAAGTTTCCAAGTCCTGCCCTTGACCTACTGTGTCTGGAGTGGGGAGGGGAGGTTCCCATCCACACCTCCCCCCATGCGCACTCATAGCTTACTGAGCAGGTAGTACTGTATATGTAGGCCCAGGCCCAGGTGCTGGGACTACACGGGACCAGCAAGTTAGATCCTCTGCCTTACGGGGTTCATACCATCTTTGGAGCAACAGACTATGGACACATGTAGGCATAGCAGTCCCCAGAGAAAGAAAAAGTGTGGTGGCTGAGGAGTACCACTTGAGACTATGGAAGAATGTCAGGATGGGATAGGATCTTCTACTGTTGTCCAAAGGTAATATACAAAGGTCCCAGACTTAGGGAAGAGCACAACATGCAGTCCCAGCACTTGGGAGGCAGAGGCAGGCGGATCTCTGTGAGTTCGAGACCAGCCTGGTCTACAGAGCTAGTTCCAGGACAGGCTCCAAAACCACAGAGAAATCCTGTCTCGAAAAACCAAAAAAAGAAAGAAAGAAAAAAAAAAAAAAAGAAGACCAGGGAAGGGAGGCTGCTTGCACAGCCTTAATCCTGAGCATGGGGAAGCACTGCAGGGCTCCACTTGGTAACCTGAAATGACTGCGTCTGCTCAGTGACAGGCAGGAAGATAAAGGAGCTGTCGTGGGGACAGTGATGCAGAACAGAGTATTTAAAACATAGACAGAGGCAGGCGGTGGTGCTGCACAGCTTCAGTCCCAGCACTTGTGAGGCAGAGGCAGGCTGATCTCTGAGTTCAGGGCCAAGTTCCAGGATAGCCAAGGCTACACAGAGAAACCAAGTCTTGGAAAAACAAAACAAAACAAACAAACAAAAGAGTAGGATTTACTGCCTTCCCCTTAAGGGCTGCCCTCTAGCAGGGCAGGGGCCATGTTTGATTTGTCTACAAACATTTGTAGAATAGGTAAATGAAACATTTTCCAACAGGCACCTCTAGGGACTTGTTAGCTCAAGGGGCTTCCTCTCTAGCTGAAGGGACACAGGCAGACCAGCAAGAGCAGAGAGGGTGAGAGAGAAAGTGCACAGATGATACATCTTTTCCACCCTTGCTATTACCATCCTTGTACACGGAGGCTAAGCTGATGTCTCCCAGCAGAGCTGCCTGTCACAACCTGTCTGCCTGGCAATGCTGTCACAGCCTCTCTGCCTCAGCAGGGTGGCAGCCAACAATAACAGGGACCTCATGTGCCTGGGGAGTTGAGAAGCCGGGGAACCAAAGCTCAACTGTCACATCTCATGCGCTCATCTAGCAGGTACCTCTCTACACAGCAGGTGCAGGGTCCTCACCCTCAAGTGCAGAGTCAGTGAGTGCTTTGTTTCTGAGTTAAGTGGGTCCCACTGTCTACAGAGCTAGAGGGTTCTGGGGAAAGGGCCAGAACATTATGCCTTCCATCTATGTCCTGAACCATTCCTACAAACATGGGATGTATATAGGGAAGGGATGGTAGAGAGAAACCTGGTCAAGGCTGAGTATCAACTAATTTACTCCTAGAGAGAGCAAGAATAACAACTGTGAAGTAAAGGACCTAAGTCAAAGGCTGCAAAAATGCAGTCTTCTGCATCTTCCAGGAAGACAGTTTCTCCTTCAGTTATACCCCAAGGAAGATCTGCTCTGCAGTGTGGGCATTTTTCTGATAACCAGGGTTAGGAGTCCACTTGCAGCTTGCAAGGCTAGGGATGCTTGGCTGCAGGCACTTCTTCAAGCACCCAGGCTCTGAGAACACCAGGGGTCCCACCGTATTCAGGTGCTCCCATGGGCTACTCCTAACAAGGAGAGCTAGGGTCCATCATGACGTCAGGGTACCCCTCTCCGTGATGACATACTATGGCATCAGAACTGCCCGTGTGAGCTTGCTTTAGAGGTGCAGAACATAAGGGATGCCATTTCCTCATTCTTTCCCTAAGAGCAGTTCTGTTAAGTTCCCACTCACTCTCAGGTGGAACTCCCCGATAGTCCCCTGGGGAGTGATGGGCAGACTCCAGGCCAGGACTGAGCTCAGGATGCTTCACACTGAGCTCTCACTGACACAGAAAAATGACCCTTGCATGGGGGAGGGGAGAAAAAGACCTCGGCTTGAACTGCCTCTCATTTGCTCCTGAGGCCAGTTCCAGCACCCTGAGACATGGCCTGCAGAACTACAGTTTTTTGCTCAGGGCCATCACACTTGAGCCTTTGGTTCTCATCACAAAAGGATAGAGCTTCAGTCACTCTCACACCACAAAGAGACATTTCAGCCACTTGAGACAGACTAACAGAAACAATGGCTTTGCCTCTACCTGCCACTTTCCTCTCCACAAGCTCTGCTTCAGGAGCTCAGCCACTCTTGTTCTAAGAGCTACAAACAGGAGGAGGCTTCCTGGCTGGGCAGCACCACACACCGGCTACACTTGAACAGACACAGTCCTGCCTCACACTCTAGTCCACAGAACCCCTCTGATGAGAAAGAGCCCCCTCCCACAGTACAGTGCTCTGGTAGAGTGGGCGGAAGGAGAGGTTCAGAAAGAGCTGTCCCCAACTGCTGTGAGTCTTCTCAGCAGAGCTTGGTCATTAATGAGTGAGTTTGCAGGACACAGGAAATGACATCATGAGCTTGCAGACCCACCCTCTCTCTTAGCTGGGGACCACCTCCCCAAGGCTAGCACAAAGTTGTGAGACATCCTGGGTGTGGGGGGTGTGGTGACAAACCAGGCCCTGGGATGGCTCTGCTGGGTTTAACGAGGCAGCCCTTCCTTTGGGAGTGGGAAGCCCCTGTCAGGGAGTCAGAAGCGTAGGATCTAGTTTTAGGTGCTGTTGCACCACAGCTGATGTAGCCACACACATCAAAATGGTGACAGCTGGTCTACCAGGGAAAATCTAAGGACAGTGTTAGTGAGGAGGGGAGAGGGTGGAGCGCTGTGGCCTGCAAGTCTCCCAAGTGGAACAGTTGGGAGGGAGGAGAAAAGATGGAATGTCCAGAATGTTACTTAGTAATGCTATGGCAAACTTACAGTTGGAAACCATCCAAAACACAGACAGCCCACCTTCCAGACTCTCCCAGCCCAGTGACACCCATCTATTAAGACATCTAGGTCTAGAGCTGACCTCAGTCCTCCAGCCAGCCAGCTCCGATCCAGGTCACTGTGAGCAACCCGTCCACACTCAGAACATCCCTCCCAGGGCTAGCACGGCTCTGTGTGTGTTCAAAAGTCCATTTCATGTGCATGTTACTGCAGTGCTGCTCTGTGTGCCACAACACACTCAGTTGTCTTTGTTACTGTGTGTTCAGGACAAAAGGGCCAATGAACTACATCTATAGAGAAGAGGCACTTAGGAGCATCAGGCCTGTGATTTCAAAGACCACAAAGGAGAGATGAGCTAATGAGACTTCTGAGGACCACAAATAATGCTAGCACCAGGCCCCTGGAAACATCCACCGTGTACCTATGAGTCTATTCTATAGGGAAGAATGAGGCCATGGGCTTGGATTTGGTCTCATGCTTGGGCTAAGCAAAACACAGACAGGTTCAGGCTTACAAAATGTGCTTACAGAGTGTGCAGAGAACTTACTGTGTTTGTTTTTCTTCTCTGGTAGAGGAGGTGGTTTCTCTGGGTCACCCACTGACTCCGGAGCACTGAAATCACCCACAAATTCAACAGGGGCTGAGGAAGTTCCCTGCTGAAACGGAAGGATAGCAGCAAAGGGCGGGTAGGGCACAGGCTGGACTGGGTTCTGCAGGTCATCCTCTGAGATGTTGTCATACTGTGAGGGGTGTCGTTCATAGGACACCCTGCAGCCAGAGCTGTCTGTGGTCTGGGAGGCTGCACTCCTGCGCTTCTTCTCAGGAAGGGCAGGTGGAGTGTCTGTCTGCTGCCCCTCCTGCTGGGGATAGCTGCCCAGAGGCAGCTGGAAAGTATGGCCAAGAAAGGGTGGGCCAGCCTCCCCCAGGGACTCTGGTAGTGGGCTGAGGCTGCAGGCCGCCTGTGGAGGGATCTGGTCTGCGTTGGAGAGGTCTTGCTGGAGGAATTCATAGTCAGGGTCATAATGATCTGCAAACCAAAGAGAACACACACCCTTAGCTGTGAGCCCCAGGACATCAGCCCTGCTCTGCTCAGTCTCCCTCAGAGGACAGGGGATGCTTCATCTCTCTTGGGGACTTCTACTTCACTGGATATTCCCTTTTTAAAAAATTTATTTAATTTCATGTGTTTTGCCTACAGGAGGGTGTCAGATTCCCTGGAACTAGAGTTACAGACAGCTGTGAGCTGCCATGTGGTTCCTGGGAATTGAACTTGGGTCCTCTGGAAGAGCAGTCAGTGTTCTTAACCACTGAGTCATCTCTCCAGCTTCTTGACTGTTGAGGTCAAAGGGGTGGCGAGATGACTGTGTGCTATAATGGTCTCTGTGTTTTTGTACTTTGATACACGCACACACACAAATATGAAATATGGCTTTTTTGGGGGGGGGAGGTTCAAGGAATCAGGGCTTTGTGTATGTATTCTACCACAGAGCTATATTCCCAGCACTTTCCAACTTTGTTACTTAAAAAAAATATATACATGACTACTGAAGACAAATGATGATGAAAAATAAGAACCCAGGGCTGGCCATCAGAGTTCACATCTTGATGTACTTTCTTGAAATTAATATTTTTTGGGGGGGTGTTTTCTTTTCCAAGATAAGGTTTTGTGTACCCCTGGCTGTCCTGGAACTATAGGCCAGGCTGGCCTTGAACTCAGAGCGATCCACCTGTTTTTGTCTGAGTGCTGGGATTAAAGGTGTGAGCTATCACTGCCCAGCAAAAATCTCAAAGTTTTTTTTTTTTCCTTAGAACTCTATCACCACATTTTTTGTTGTTTGTTTTTGAGATATGGTTTCACTATGAAGCCCTGGCTGGCTTGAAATTCTCTCTGTAGACAAGACTGGCCTGGAACTTAATATGCCACCCTGTTCCCATCCTTTTTAATTTAACTAAGAAAGTAGCATGTCACTGATCTCAGTTTGTCTATAAGTGACTTTCATTAGTTACAGGCTAGCCCACCAGAGCAAAGTCCCCTCATTCATCTGATCCCCACTGGCGACTCCAGACTGTCACCATTTCATTCTTTGTAGGTTTTCCTCATCAGACAAGCCTTGCCAACAATTTCCCCTTTGTGCCGGGCATACTTTCTCCGAAGGGAAAGGATCTAGTTCTCAGGACACAAACTGGTGAATACTGGCAAGTCCCTGCTAAGTGGTCCTGCTGACCTCTGTCACTGGTGCCCAACAGGATAAGGAAGTTGCCTGACGCTTTCAACCTCTGCAGGTACCTTCAGGAGCTCACTCCCCCACAGAAAGCCCTGTGTGCACATGGACTGAGTCAGGATGTACATGGCCAGGCTACCTGTAAGGAGGGTGACTCCCTGTGCATCGGCTGTGTGACTGTGCTGTGATTTCATAGACACTTTCAGCCTCTTTCAGAGCAGACACCGTCCTAATTTTCCTAATTTTGCAAACTGAGGCTTGGATCTTGAAGGATTTAACCAAGGTCACCTAGCTAACGCTTGGAAATCAGTTGACTCAGGCCTAGAATCACTGGACCCAGGAAGCTTTGGAAGGAGGAGGGCTCTAGTGGCTTACCTAGTGTTTCACAGCTTGTGTTCCGCGAGCACTGCCCACTATCCCTGTCTAGGGAGGACAGCTGCTCGTCTGACCGGCTGAGTTTGCCTGTGCTGCTGCAGGGGGACAAGCGAGGAGACTCACCACCGCAGGAGCGGCTGCCTCCGGACAGGCGCCTCTGGGTGTAACAGTCAACATCAAAGTCCTAGGAAAGAATGCAAAGGAGACTCAGTCTTCCACTGGCTCAGAGGCCATCTCTGATGTCAGCGTAGGATCCTGATGAGACAGGCAAGGAACTGGGAGGAGTGTGGGCGTGTGTGGACAGGGATGTCCTTGGGAGATGCCCAAGGTTTGTCCACTGCCCATGTCATGGGAGGTGGGGGTGATGGTCATTGATTGCCCTCCCACAAGTCTCTGGATGTAACTAACAGTTGATCTAAAGACTATTGGGCAACTTTCAGCTTTTGGACCCAATTCCAGTCCTTTTCCCAACTAAAAATGGACTACATTACCTGCCTATTGATTCCAACAGGTAAACTGGAGCCACTGGTAGCTCGACTCATAGGGGCTACCACAGCCACTCGGGTAGGGGATGGAGCAGACTGTCTTTTCTTGGGTGGTAATGCTGGTGGACTAGAAGAGACAGAAAATCCAGGCAAACTGTACATCACAAACAAGAGTACTTTAAAATGGTTTTACGGAAGAAGACATGGCTGAAGCTCTTTCTCCACACCCAATTTCCACACTTTAACTGCCTCCTGTTTTCCTCTTGCCAATCACTGTATCAATTCCAAAAGAACAAAACCAAAGGATTCTTTTCCTTCCATAGTAAATCATGCCTGGTTTCAATGGCTAGAGAACTAAGGCAGCTGTAAGAGCACAGAGCCTGTGCAAAGGTCCTGGGGCAGAGCCCGGCCATTCTCAGAGACAGTCCTTTCTCAACAGTGCCAAGCTACTGGAGCGTTTAAGGGGCCAAAGTCCTAAGTCTTTCCCCAAGCACACCATTATCCTTTGGCTCACTCTGCCATCTATCTTCTCCCCACATTAGGTCACTAATGGGGAGGTACTAGAAAAAAAAAACTTCCCCAAAAGAGTTTAGGATAATTACCTGTTATCAACCACCCGAATGCCAGGTAAGGGGGGTTTGGGGGGTGCGACCTCTTCACTAGTGGAGTCTGGGAGCAATTCAGTGGATGGTGACACACCTGTTGCCGTCTTGTTCAGAATCTCCATCTCTCGGTCTGTCAGAGGGAGCTCAGGGTGGCTGGAGAAACGGAAAGATCTAGGGCTCACGCACAGTCAGAGTACACGCAGGTCCTGAGAGGGAGCGGTAGGGCTAGGGGCTCCCATGGAGTCTCATCACTGACCAGCTACCAGTCTGCTCTAAAATTACGTGTCACATTTTTAACATGGGCCAGTCCTTAAATGAATGCAAAACAGTAAGGCTGTCCTCATCTTAATCAGAAAACACTCTGCTGCTGGCCTCGGAGTCTGTTCATGTATCAACATCCTACTGACTGAGTTTTATTTATTTATTTATTTATTTTTTTTTTCGAGACAGGGTTTCTCCGTAGCTTTTGGTTTCTGTCCTGGAACTAGCTCTTGTAGACCAGGCTGGCCTTTAACTCACAGAGATCCTCCTGCCTCTGCCTCCCGAGTGCTGGGATTAAAGGCATGCGCCACCACTGCCCTGCCTGACTGAGCTTTATTAAATAATCCAAGATCTCCCACGACCCCTCGCCAAACTCTCGGGAGTTCATGGTGCAGTGACAGGCACCGGAGGCTAAGAACAGGCAGTCACATCCTTTTGTACACTCTTACACAGCTGACCTTGTAAAGTGAAAGGCAACACTTTGAAACTTGTGTGGAACACGTACTTTAAAGCATCAGGTACTCACCAAGACTTATCACAGGAAAGGGACCCGGGGCTGACCACAGCGTCTCAAATGCTCCCTCTGACTGCCTGGCTCCCATCCTTTGTCAAGCATGGGCTCAGCCCCAGGTCCCTCAGTGACAGAAGTCTGCTCAGACTTACCCGTCAGGCTTGCTGGCTGGGGAACTGGGCTTCACTGGGCTTGTTGGCGATGGCCGCCCCTGCTTCTCAATGATTAGCCTTACCAGCTCCTGTGCTCCACAAGAGAGAAAGGGAGAAAGGGGGAAGGGGTGGTACCACTGTACCTTTAGCAAGAGGCAGGGCTTCCAAGTCCCACGTTTGTGCCCACACATTTCCCACACAGGTGATGTACACAGTTCCTAACATGCCTCTTTCCCTCTGAAAATACCATCACAGCACACTGCAGAGCTTCAATTGCATCATACACTTCCTCTTGAAAGGAGAAATGGCAAGTCCCAGTCTCAAGATGAACAGACCACTGTGCACTTAGATTCCTGTGCAGTCTGGGGAGGGAGTGGGAGACATTTTTGGTTCCCTAAAGCTGTTGTGTTATGCCCAGTGGTGGGTGCCCTTAGCTATCTGGTGTTTGGTTTTGTGTATTTTCCCAAAGTGCACTGGTGTCAATGGACTTAGAGTAAAGGTCATGTGACTCAGTACAGAGCTGGTTTGAAAGGAAATAAAAATGGTTCTTTGAAATAGCAACAATGAGGCTGATCAGGGTCCTGGAGATCACGGACTAGGTGAGGCTAACTGGCCACAGAGCTGTAGGGATCCAGTTGTTTCTTGACTCCCTAGGGCTGGAATCACAATTATGGCCAGCACACTTGGTCATTGTGCAGGAAGTATTTCATAGAATGAGCCACAACTCCAGCTTCAACTTCCAAAAGCTCTGTGGAGACAGAATTTCCATACCACGAAATTCACCTGCTCTAAGCTTGAGCACATGTGCATTGCTTAACACAATCAACTCAAGGACAAAAACCCTGTAGCTGTACAGCCCCTCGTCTTCCTGCCACTCCTGGCTACTATCGCCCTACTCTTGGCTAGCCTGCCTTCGCCTCAGTGATCCGCCTTCTTTTGCTTGAGTAAGCTGCCACATTTTGGGTGGCCCAGGATTGCTCTATTCCACTGCAGAGCAGTGTTCTGGTATATTGCTTTCTAATGGTGAGCTTCTGACGATGACCTATGGGCATGAGGGAAGAGCATGCCACCTCTGAGGACACAGAGGTGGGTCACCTAGCCACATCTCCCTGAACAGTATGGGTGGGACACTGTCAGTGAGAATGGTTTGTCACTCTGGGCAGTGGACAATGGTCTAGTGGATGACCTACTGGCACATATCAAAAGCTTCAATATTTATTAGGAGAATTTTGTCTGAAGAAAATGCTATGGATATATGCAAAAGCTCAGCTATGGAGGATGTCACTACAGATAAAGTGAAACTATTCAATAGTCCACAGTGAAACACTCACTACAAGTACCAAGTATGTAGATGTGACAGAACTCAACACTCTATAGTCAGTAAGAATCAAGTCACAGCAGGACATGGGTCATGGCATAAAAAGATGGTGGAATACTGGGTGCAGAAAAGCCCTACTTGCTTTGTTGGGGTACACTGTATATTTTGGAAACAAGAACAACCCCCCCTCTTAAATTATTCAAAATTTTCTAAAACAGACCTAGATTAATTCTGAGAAAACTGTTTCCCCCAAACCATGAGAGGCATGTCCATGGAACCAGATGCAGGCTCACCCCATTCTGTTCTTGGAGCCATGTGGGAAGTAAAATCCTGGGGAGCCTGAGTTTAGCACAAGAAGGGGGCTCTCTTCCACTTGTTTCCACAACAAAGTGATAGAGGGTTGAAAAGAGGAAGCAGCTAGAGGGAGGCTGCCTCTTCACCCACTGCCTGGGGAACACGGGGAGAGGCAGAGGCAGCTCACCCTGAAAGCCCCACAGTCTTGGCTGTGATCCAAGTGTCAGACCCAAGTGACTGGAAGTTCCATGTTCACGTAGTGTGGGCTGGCCTTGAACTCTCAGTCTGTCTGTGTCACGAGTGGCGTATTGCGGACAGGTGTCACCATGCTAAGTCAAACTCACTCCAGCAAGTAGGACAAAGGAATGCAGAGAAGCCTGCACATTTGTGTCTACTGATACAGAACAAATTCCACTTTCTCCAACTAGGGAGAGGTTAGGGTAAGATGCTGTTCCCCTCAGCTAATGAACAACAGATGGCAAAAAGATCCTGGGGTAACAAGCACACAAATGCAAGTGTGCCCTCAAATTCCAAGACCACATCATGACACACTGGAGGCTGGGAAAGGGGCGGGCAGCCTTTCTTTTTCTGCCAACCTTCCTGCCCAAACAGAAGGGCTTTGGTTTCAACTTGCCTTAATGATCACACAGAAGGCCCTGGGAACCTCTATCATCCTCTAGGCAGCTTCCAATACTCTGGTTTCACTGAGTGCTTCCCACCTGTGGATTGGTCAGGCCCAACACCCAGTGAAAAGTCAAACCTCTGGGAGGCAGAGTTTCTCAAAGTCAGGGTCTTTTAAATTGGAGTCCCACATTAGGCAAGTTAGAGAGACTGCTCTGGACTCTTCTGCCAACAACCATAATTGAGATCAACATTTAGTTTGCTGAAAATCAGTTCTCAAAAGTCAACTTCGTAAGAACACGAAATGCTTCCAGGCTCATTTTGCTCACACTAACCTAACCAGGGCTGTAGAGATGGAAGCGCTTGAGTGACTTAAGAAATCAACACCCAGCTCTGAGCTTGAGCATCTCAGCCCCACCCTCCTCACTCTTTTCTTCTGGGGATGACACAAAGACCTGAGTGGAAGAGGGGCCACACAGCCTTGATAGTCTTGGCACAAAGAACCCCAAGGGCAGCATGGTGGTTAGTGTTCTCTGGGTTCTCACAGTGGGGATTACTCTACTGGAAGCATACCAGATGCAGTCTGGACCTTTCCTTCCAGCTCAGACCCCCATCCATCACCCTGCTACTCCCTGGCCCTGTGGTCTCTGAGTACTGTTCCAGGGCATGGGAAGTCTGTGGCTACACACCATGCTCAGTGTCACCATCTAGTTCTTCATATACTTTGGAAGAGGGTCAGATCTGGTTTGACAATGTGAAGAACACTGGCCAGTGGGGACTGGGGTGGATTCCTGTGTCAGGAACTACAGGACAAGATCACAGGAGTGTCCATCCCCAAAGTGACTTCACTGTCATTTAACTTTGTGTTTTTGGGACAGGGTCTCTCTGTAGTCCTGGCTGTCCTAGATGACAGAGATTCTGCCATCTCTGCCCCATAAGTGCTGGGATTGAAGGTGTATGCCACCATGCCCAGTCCTGAGTGACTTAATAGAGACAACAAGGAGCCTTCTCTGCCCACATCAAGAGTGGCAGCGAGAAGCAGAAGTGGAGGCAGTGTTCTCAGCTGCACCCAGTCAAGCAGCATAGGGCTTGACATACAAGGCACAGCTGGAACAACTGGCATTCCTTACAAAGGCCTAAGACAGGGAACTTCAGGTGCCACACTAGAACTCGGATGGCTGGATCAGGGCCAGCTAGGGAGCTAAATAACATTTTAAAACAAGTAACATGGGCAGAGGATGCCAGGAAGCACTCCCACCTCTGAAAACTGTACGCACAAGGAAGACGACAAGCTTTGTGTGACAACCACGAGGGGAGGTTTCTCTCCCAGACTCACTCTGGCACCGGCATGAGAAATCACCTTACACGTCATAGCCTGAAAACTCTGGGGCATGGCAGTCACCACCAACAGTTACTGCCCCCACCAAGGGGGCACCTTTTTTGAAAGCACAGTGCTATCTAGGAAGCTTTCTTTCTCCACTAACAAGCTGGGAGGGCTCTGGCCTCCAGCTTTATAGGAACCCCATCACAGATGGTTGTGAGCCACCATGTGGTTGCTGGGAATTGAACTCAGGACCTTTGGAAGAGCAGGCAATGCTCTTAACCACTGAGCCATCTCTCCAGCCCGGTCCTAGATTTTAAAAGGCAATTTTTTTAAAAACAGCAAACCTAGCCAAGCAATGGAGGTGCACACCTTTAATCCTAGCACTTGAGGCAGAGGCAGGGGGATCTGAGTTTGAGGTCAGTTTGGTCCAAGATATCCAGGTTTACTCAGAGAAACCCTATCTTGTAAAAAGTCAACAATAAACAAAAAAGCCAACCATACCCCAAAGGTCAAAGCCAGCCTGGAGCATGTTTCTAGAAAGCTCTCAAGGTGGCCCGCCTGCGGAGGGTTCAAACAACAAAAGCACCAAACAAGGACTGTGCAACACAAACCGTAGCCTGAAAGGGTTACAATATTTACTGTTTGTCCTTCCAGAACAAGTTGCCCTACCCCTGGATGGGCATACAGAGGTTCCAGAAAGGAGCATCCCTTGGGATTTACACCTGGCAGTCTCAGGAGCCAGTGAATGAAGAGAAGAAACCAGACTGGCAGTGCATGGGCATGTGGGGGAACTGGTGGGGCCTGATGCAACTCTGGCCACTAAATGTAAGAGAAATTCTGTGAGGAGGTATAAGAAGCCTCCTCCTCACTGTCTGGGGAGGAAGCAGCGACCCTGAAGCACTGGGTAGAATCCATGTGCTAAGGACAGCAGGAAAGTGAGACAGGCTCCTCCTTGACCACTCAGAAAACCTCACACGAGCCTTTGCCTATCTCTGAACTTTACAAAGGAAACAAAACCTTATATTTTCTGTGTTGTGTGTGGAGGCCGTAGGTTAATCTCTCTCCATCTTTTGAGGTACGGTCTCCTCTTGGATTGGGAAACTTGCCTATGTGGCTAGACTATTTAATCAGCAAGCAACTAAAACCCGTTAGTATCACCTTCCCTTAGTGTTAGGATCATGGTTACATGTTGTTGTACCTAGTTGTTTTTTTAAATGGTGTTCAGGATCCAAACTCAACCCTACATGTTGATGTGGCAAGCACTTCACAGATTGTACCCAAATCCTCCAAAAGTTTTACGTCTAATTTTTTTTACATTGATTGACGTAAATTAATCATTGGTTGATTGTGTGCGTATGTGTGCATGTGTGCCACAGTTCCCATGTGGAGGTCAGACATAGGTCATCAGGTTTGGTGGTGAGCACTCTCCCCTGCTGAGCGATCCCAGGGGCTCAGAAAGTCCTGTCTGTAAAAGCTTCTGCTCTAGCGGCTCCGGCTCCTTCCCTGTAGGTGTTCCTCTGTTATGCCCAGTTCTGGGTGATGACAGTGAAGTGACAAAACTGTGGGTCTCCACAAGGCCTTCCCTATGGCTTTCAGTGGAGGGAAGTGTTTAGAAAGATTGTTTTTTTTTCTGTGTGTGTGTCTGTGTGAGTGGATGTCCACAGAGGTCAGAAAAGGATGGCAGATCCACTCGAACTGGAGCTTTGGGTGAGCTGTCAGATATGAAAGCTGAGAGCCAAAGTAGCAGGAAGTGCTCTTAGCTACTGAACCATCTCTTCACCCCTATTATTATTACTATAAATTATAAACATTTTAGTCTATATAAGTGGCTGAAAGCTGGGGATACAGGAGCCTGGCAGGGAAGCACTGACATCTCCAAGGGCAAAAGGTGCCATATCTGAGGTCGGAAGAGAAGTGGGCATTTAACTGGGATAGTCAGGAAGATCTGAAATTTGTGAGCTGTCCTAGAAGGAGCCACAATTCCCATCTAAGACTAATAATTGTGAGCTCGCTGGGGAAGGTTTTCATGATGAACAGTGCTCACCCCGTCTGCTGTCACCCAACATTTGCCAGGTACTTCACAGACAGGATCTTCTCTCTCCTCACACTCTCAGCGTATTTAAAAACCTACACGAATCTCAGAGTTACTTGTCCAAGGCTATACAGCTAGTGGCATTTATGTGAAGGTTTATGTGGCAAATGACAGCACTCACGTAGGAACAAAATCAAAATAATCTGCTTTTCAAACTCGTTTTCAATCTTTACCCTCCTGCCCCGAAAAGAATTCCATTTAACAACTGAATGAGCTCCTTAAGGGGTGGTGAGTCAGTTTGTAGGAATGCACCATTCTCCTCCAAGAAGACCGCAGGATGAAGACAGCTAGCTACAGCCTTTGTATGTGCACACTCCTGGCCCTCCCAGCCGAGGCAGCTTCCTTGCATCCCAGAACATGGGCTTAGAAGGTGTCCTTGTGAGGTGAGAATGAGAAGGATCCTTTGGGTAAATCTCCTAGAAGGGGGCAGCAGAGGGTGACTCAGTGCCTAGGTCCAGCAGACTGTGAAAATCATGAGCTTGCCTCTGACTATGGGCCCACCTGACCTTGGCTAGTCCACCAGTGAAGGTGCCTACCTCAGAGGGCTGTTGGAAATATAAAGCTGGGCAATATAAAAAAGTACCCATTAGGCCTGGAAGTGGTAGTACACACCTTTACCCAGCACTCCAGAGGCAGAGGTAGGTGGAACTCTTGAGTTCAAGGCCAGTCTGGTCTGCAGAATGAGTTCTAGGACAGCCAGAGCTGCTCTACAGAGAAACCCTGTCTTGGAGAAAGCAAATCAACCAAACAACCAACCAACCAAAAACTCAAAACAAAATAACAACAACAAAATAACCCAAACAAGAACCCCATCCATTGTTTGCTATTATTACTACTGGATTCTAATTACAAATGCCCATGCTGACCGATTTTACTCCTTAACTGACCCCCCCTAGAAGTTTCCAGTACCACAGGCCAGCTGACCTGGCCTTCCTTAGGGACGGTTCTCCGATCTCCTTGTCCCTGCATTAGCACAAACAATCCCTGCTGTGGCATGTGGCATCCTTTTAAGCAACCGTGGACTCTCTTTCTCAGTGAAGCAAGGTCAGGGGGTGCCACTCTTGTTCGTCACTGTGCAGTCCTGTCACACCACAGGCACACAGCATGCTTTAGATACAGAGCGCCTCATCTACTGGCTCTTTGTTCTGGCTGAAGCTCCATACATGCATGTGTTATGCATGTGTGCACCTGTGCGTGTGTGTGCTTGCCTGCATGGCCACGTGTGTGAAAGTCAGAGGACAACTCTTTGAGTCTGTTCTCTCCCATCTTCCTGCTAGAGGCGGAGTCTCCCTCATTACTTCTGTCCCCATGCTGCGTGCTTGAGGCTTGTTGGCCCGAGAGGTCAGACAGTCTCCTGGCTCACCCAGGTTCTGGTGAAACTATTTTAAAAACAACTGTGAAAAAGTTATTTGCTCTCAGGGGCTAGCAAGGTCGAGTTCCACAGGCTGCACGTGTGTGCTTCCATCTCCCAGGGTCACACTGAGAGACCAGCAATTTTTCAAACATGCTTCTTGTGAGCAGTACAGCTGTGCTTCCATGACTCCATAAAGAGACCCACTCTGGAGCGTCCAGAGCTCCTCGGAAACCTGCTCTCTAGTTTCAACCGTTCCAATTGTTGTGACATTTCATTGAGATCAACCTGATGGAGGAAAACCTAAACAATGTCACCTAGAAAATAATTTTGGTTTCCAGAGCTGGGACAGGAGAAGCAAGGGTGAACCAGAACTCGGCCAGAAGGCATGGGGAGGCCATGCCGCACCTTGTCCACTTACTGACTGAAAGGAGCTGCAGTAAGCACTGAAGGGATAAACCAACAGCACCCAAATCCTATGGTGACTACGATCAACACCCACAAGCCGCATTAGTTACAACAGGTAGTGTAAAGTCCGGAGACTGTGCTAGACAGCAAAGGAGCATCAGAGGGGAAGCTTGCGTCAACTTGTCACACGCCCCTCCCTCAAAGTGAATGCAGTTACCATCCACACAGTAGCCTCTACTTTAATGGTGCTGGGGACAGAGCGACGGGAGCTTCAGCCAACACAGCCCATTTGGGAGTGATTTCTCTCACCCAACAATGCCTCCTTAGCCTTCTCTGTGTAATTTAAACTCTTTGGGGTCTTTGTTCTATTTTCCAGAGCTTCTAAAGAACACACCAATAGGAACGTTTCAGGAACCACATAGACTGGCTAAGTAGAGAAGTCTTTCTGACCTAGGCTAACTAATGTGGTTAAAATTTTGAATTAAGGGTCTATAAAAGGGACACAGGTTTTCCAAGCCACACCTCTAAAGCATGCATTTAGCACCGCATAATCAATAATGAATAGTGGTGAGTGCCTACAAGCTCAATGTACTCCAGGCATTGTTCTAAAAGCATCCTGCATTAACTAATCTAACCGGCAATGTTATAATGCAGGGCACCACTGTTACACCCGCTGATGGGTGTGTTCATGGGTGTCATCAAGATGAACTAAAGTAGTATACTGCCCAAGTCTGCAGACTACTGGGTGGGATGTATGCAGGCCAGACCCTAGGCCTCTCAGTACAGCTCCTCCTGCCCACTGCAAAGTCCTTTCCATTTTGTGCCCTCCATTCTTTTTTGTTTCTCACCTACTAGGATTTATATTCTTAGTTTGGCTTCTGGGCCCCAATTCCAGGCCCTCGATAGCCTTTGCTTTGCTGTAACTGTGACTGTGAGTCCTAATTGCCTATGAGGCTATTTGCAATGGCCTGGATAGTAAACATGCTGATCATATCATAGACATCAAGTACATTCTATTTCAACCACTCAGTCCTGCTTTTCTACCAGGAATCCTACATGTTCCTATGACATGACAAGGTAATGGTTGAGATGTTCGGAGTTTTGTTAAAAGCCAGTACAAATAATCACTATTGCATCATGGCAAGCTGGTGCATGTTCTCAGCCAGACCAGGAATATCTGGCCCACAGAGGACTGAACACCAGATGCAGGAAGGGCTGATGGTCTCTGGCAGCCTGAGAATGAAACAGTTACTGGACAGAACTGGCCCACACCAGAGCTCTGGAAGGCATTCACCCCAGTGTCTGTCTATCATCAAGTTCATAGCTTCCAGGGGGCTGGCTGCCCGACCAGGGTCACCTGGCACCTGCCCATTACCTTCACTCCATCCAGCACAGCCTTGATGACTCTCTTCACAGTCGTCACCATCTCTTTATCTTCTGAGTTCACGCCCTCCAGCATCACCTGGTCAGACCATCGGATGAGGTTGGCGAGGCTCTGGTATACTCGGCTATAGCAGGAGGAGAGGGCTGAGCTACAGGGAGGAGAGGGTTAAAGAGCATTAGAAAGCAGTCTCCACCATAACCCTCCTTCCCAGGGAGCACTCAGGGAGGCAAGGATCTCAGTGTCCAGGTAACATTTCCTTTTTTAAAATCCATGGTTTTCTTTTCCCTCCTTCCCTCTCTCCTCCCTTCCTTAAGTCTTCTTAAGGAATTTTAGAATGGGTTACTGTTCTCATTTCAGATTTTATACATTGTAACAGAAGAGCAAACTCCCTCATTACTAAAGCAGACCCTTAAAAATCAAGGGTACAGTTTAGACAAGACAACACAACATTGTAAGGTGTGGCTGAAGCAGGGTCTAGCACCAGGGGGTCTTTAAGCCCTCTACCAATGAGGTTCTATCAAGAGCAGCAGCACAAGGGAAGGAGCTACACTTCCTGGCAGCCATGGCTGCATTCCACATGCACCAACAGAAAAGTCAGCAAGAAGGATAGCAAACCCCTTCAGTCCTTGAGAATGAGGGGAGCTGGTCATGAAGCCTGGGGATGGTGTCAAGGGCTCACAAGGATGAGGCAGGAGGGCCCTCCCCTCTGGAAAGGATGACCCAGTTCTATAGTCTCTCTGGCAGGTCAGGTGCCCCTGGGAGCATGCCTAACACTAGCCTGAGGTCCTCAGGGTTTTTGTCATATCCACCCCTCCCCCACCAATCTAGCTGCTTTCCTCCAGCTCCTTCTTTCCCTTCTCCTCTAGGAAGCAGGCCAGAGCCACTGCAGCTCTGTCACTGCCTTCTTCAGCCTGTGTCACATAGTCAGCACTTCATCATATGGTGGGGAGCTCAACTCTTCCTGGTGGGAGCCATCACATAACAACAGAGGAATGATAGCATCTATAGACAGCCATCTACACATCTGATGGCCTAATGTCAGGCTCATTTTCTCAAAGAAGACCACGGAGTTTCCATGGGATGAACTAATGGAGAGCCACAATACAGACCAAGCCACCAGCAGCATAGAGAGCCAGAGGTCACAATCTCCAGGGGTCAGCAAGCAGTGGAAGCCCAAAGCAGAACATTTCTTGGAAATAAAGACACACAATCTGTTATTATCTCTCAGAAGAAAATTGTGAACTTCAGGGCCAAGTTCTGAAAGTCATTCATTAAAGCTCAGTCTCATGGGTCTAAGTAGACACTAAGCTGCCTTGAGATGCGTTGACTATGAACAGGCACACCACTGACAAAACCTCAGAGCTGCCAGCCTCTTCAGAAAGGTTCCTGCAGCTTGGGGATTGCATCTAGCACCGCTATCCTTGTTATACTTAACAATAAACATGGGGCAAGCTAAACTGTAAGAAGAAAATGCACTCTAGCACTCAGAGGCTGTCTGGGAAGTCCTGGCCTGGCACAGGAAGGTTCCACTACACCTGGCTTTATCAGGTGGTAATTCCAGGAGCTGAGGACTTGAATGACAGGGCTGAATCATGGTAAGTGATGACGGAGGCTCTGAGAATGCGTCCAGCTCAGTATGATCGCGGTTAGGAAGCAAATACAAAGACACAGCCACAGCTCAGAGGGTCGGTGGTGTCAGCCAGCATACAGGCCTCTGGAGGAACAGTTGCTTCCAGACTGGGAAGTGGGAACAAATGTAAAACCCCTTTCCCCTCATTGTTTCAGATGCCCCAAACCAAAGTGCCTCTAAGCCTCCCACTGCTGTCATGACTAAGGACCTTCAGGGGGACTCACCTGTGCTGGATCTGAAGGTCAATCTGTACCAGGGGTAAGATGGCCTCTAGCACCTTGGTGGCTGACCCTGGGAGCATCTCCAGAACCTTCTTATCAATGGCCATTTTGTCCACAATGGTCTTAAAGTAGCGCAAGGCACTGACAACTTCCTTCTCTTTCTCCTCCAGCCAGCACAGGTTCTGAAAGGGAACATCATGCTTAAGGAATGAGAAGAGATGAAAGGGAGCTAGTCTGAAAACAGTAAAATCTATAAACTAGTTCGACAGTCCTGCAAATGGAAAAGGTTCTGGCAGTAGAGACCAAGTCAGATGTTTTCTCTAAGGACTGCGATCAGAGACAGAGGCTAGTAGGAAGAGAGACAGGCTTAGGATTAGAAGGGTCATTTAGAGATCTGGGGATTCCCTCTCCATACTCTGGGATCCTGAAATTATTCTCAGTATTCTAATTGGCTACCTGAGATAGCACCTCCTATCTCCCAGTGTGTGACCAGCCTCAATGAGGATATAGGAGGCAACAGTCATGCCCCAGGGCGCATATGTATACTCGTCCAGAATCAGATCAGGATCCAAAGATTTACAGTCCTACCCAAACTCAGAGCTCCCTCCCCATAAAAAAACTATGACTTCAAAAGCCTCTAATACCAGGACTGGAAGGAGGCGATGAAGAAGCCAGAGGCAATGGTAGTCAGTGAGTACGGTGCAGTGGCTGCTAACAGCATTTGCGCACTCTGTCTCCAAGGAAAGGGGCCTGAGCAGAAAAGCAAAACCAAAGTACAGTGCCTGTACTTTCCAGAACTCACCTTTCTAACCCCAAACTCTTTTTTTTTCTTCTGGACTGCAGGCAGCCTTGGATCTACACCTAGCGGGGCATACAGCTCTAGATTCCTTCCCTCAATGCCCTTCTCCAGTAGCCCTGATCCACAAATGGACGGTCCATACAAGAACAGACTGCACATTTAGTGAAGTGAGGGGGTATGTGAACCCCTGTGGGCTTCCTAAGGCCCAGAAAGTACAAATAATGGCAAACAAGGGCCAGAGATGCTACCAAAAATGTTGATTTAAGTAATAATCTATAAAAGTGACAATTCTTTTAGATACTAAATCTCTCCCATCACCAGATAATATCAAGGAATATCATTTAAAAATTCAGGATGGAAGGCTATTTCATAGGAACACCAAAAGAAATAACTCTAAGTGGATGGAACAAGGAAACTGTACTGCAGTCAGCTGACTTCCAAAGGCCTAGAGGGGCTTCTGAGAGCGCTCTGCAGACCACCAAGACCCCGCCCTTCCTGTGTCCTGACATGTTCATTTCTTGTCTGTTTCCAAGAGGCTGAGCACTGGCTTTTCTACTTCCTGGATGAGAGTGCTCAGCTTCTCCATAACCTTCCTTGGCTGGGACAGCCTGGGGATCAGCACTCCCAGTACTGGTGACAGGAGGAAGAGGAAGACAGACACGGCTGTCTTGGCACACCAGAAAGTGCTGGAAGGCAACAGTGATAAAACTTGGTGAGGAAACAGGAAGCATTTCAGGAAAACATGTCACACACATGGGCAGGAGTGAAGGGAGAGCTAAGATGGGAAGCAGTGGAAAGTACAGGCACCTCAGAAGAAAGGCTTTCCCGTCACTGAGGAGAGACCAGATCAGCACAGGAAGAGCCAGGCTGAGTGACTCTGTGAAGGAGCTAAGTAAGGACTCAGCAGGGTCAGGTAGCATCTGTTACCTTCTACTGAACTCCAAACCTGAATGGTCTCTAACGCTCTGCATTCCCTGAGCCCTTCAGCTGTTAAACTGTGATCAGCAGTCAGAAATGTGCACAGTGTACAGCACCAGCCAACCTGGGAGCTCAGTCATGCGGCTTGGCTAGAGTACCTGAGTGACAGCCAACCTGCACACATCTCCCACTCCAGGGAAGCAGTTGCTACCACCTGTCCTCATAAGCTTGGTACCTGTGAGGCTGTCAATCTCGGGAAGGGGCTAGTTCTAAGGCCAAGCTCCCTGTCTGTGGAGCAGATGAGAGCATCTGCCCTGTGTTAGGAAAGAAGTCACAGTGGCTACCTGAAGCTGGAGTTCAGTGGTAGAGCATTCACTTAGCCTAAGAAGGGTCGTGGGTTCCATCCCAGAAACCAAAAAAAAAAAAAAAAAACAGTCAAAGAAACACAGAAACAACCAAGCTGATGACTGAATGGGCGAGTATGGACATCACTAATAACATTTAAGAGATGCTGTATCAGGGTCAGAGGTCACATCCCTACTAGTGAAAATGCAAGGGGGGAGGAAAGGACCAGGGCACAGCTGCCACTCTGAGTGTTTCAAGCACCTACAGAGCTCTGCACTTCAGATATACTGGTTTCAATTCAGCCTGTTGCCTCGCCATAGAACAGATGCTATTATTTCATAAGTGGGGAAATTGAGGGAAGGCAGGGAATGGATAGGATAGGTTAACCTGTCCAAGATCCCACAGCTGAGTGACAAAATTAGAATACAAACCTGGCATGTTTCATTCTAGTTTGGAGAGTACAATACATACATACATACATACATACATACATACATACATACATACACACACACACACATAAATAAAGTGTGGTGGGGCACACTCATAATCTCAGCGCTCAGGAGGCAGAGGAGGCAGAAATACAAGTTTGAGACCAGCCTAAGCAACATGGTTAGACCTGCTCACACACCTGGTCCCAGCAACACAGGATATAACTGTAGATCTGGGACAGCTTAGACAACATAGCAAACAAATGCTATCACACTACACACCACACACACACACACACACACACACACACACACACACACACGTCCTAGAGAGCCCTGGGTTCAAAGCTCTTATTTAATAAATGAGTGAAGTGCACACAGGTAAGTGAAAGCTGAGGTCACTTTCCTGCCTGGTAGTGGTGACATGGCACACCTGTGCTTTTCTGTCTTGAGCCACTGAAGAGCGCAGACGCAGAGGAAAACGAAGGGATACAAACTGACCCCAGGCTTCAGCCACTGCCTTACATCAGAGCAGCAGTAGGAATCCAGCTTGTACCTGAAGCCCTGGCCCCTCTGCTTCATGGAAACTAAATTGTGCTCATAGCACCGCAGGACAGTGAATCAGGTAGTGTGGGCCTAGTCATGGGTGGGAAACAATTAGAATCAACATATAAAAAATAAAAAACTGGAACCAGGTTGGGTTGATGGTGCATGCCTTTAATACCTGCACTTGGAATTCAGAGTTAGGTGGTCTCTGAGTTTGAGATTAGTCTAGTGACATAGCAAGTTTCAGGACAGGGGCTATAACAACATAACACAATAGAAGAAAAACTGGAACCAGGATGGTGAAAAGACAACTCAACATCTTTCCTTCTTCCATATCCACAGCCGGGCCCTGTAGAAAGGTACACCTAACAGAGCCCAGCTGTACTAGGCTCTGGGGCAGGGGCATCGCTCTGCCTACTTCACTTAGGAGCTGCAGAGCTGAAAGGGAAGCCCCTTCGAGTTTCTAGGAGAGCCGCTGTCTAGCTGCCCAGAGAGTTAGAGAACTCACCTGTTCTGAGCCACTTTTGGACGCTGTTAACTGATCATATAGAGATGGACTAAATTTTCTCTGCTACTTTTAACAATCCATAGCTCACTGCTAGGCTTGCTAAGAGGTTGAAAAAGAACTGACAGTTTTTTCCTATGAGAAGACTACTGTGTCTAGATGAAACCAGGCTGGAAAGACAGTGGAACACAGTGGACAAAACAGACTTAATTAGAAAATTGGGGCCACAGCCAACACTATCTATTAGAACTAACAAAGCTCTCTCCATATGGCTAGAGCAGAACAAATAAAACAACGGGCGTGAAAGCTCAGGGCAGACGGGCTGCACCCAGGAAGCAGCAATAGTCGGGATTTGCACTTCTACTTCCTGTTCTTCAAATCCTGTGATTTAACAGAGAAAGCCACAAGTGGGACAACATGAGATGCAAACGCAGACGCTCTGTAAGAGCTGACAGAGAGAATGAACAGTAGGCCATGTCAAGCAGCAGCAACATTCCCACACCACAGGTTTCTGGACACTGTTCCTCTCACCTATGTGCAGCAGCAGGCTCCATCCTGGGGCCTGTACTAAACAGCAGCCCCCCTCCCTCCCTCATGAAGGGCAGGGCGAGCTCTACCCTCCCTCCAGGGTATATTTGTACTTCCAGCTATGGGGTGGGCCTCACCTCAGCACTACAAACATTCAAGGCCTTGGAGAAGACACCCTGTTGCTACAGGATGCTCAAGGCATTGCGCTCCTACCTATTGCATATGCAGCAGCCCCTGTCTCACTCGCCTGTGATGACAACTGAAGATGCCTCAGGCATTGCTGGGGCTTGCAGGCACCTCACTAAGTGAAGGCTATGCTTCTATCAAAATTTCTTCCATGACCTTTGTTTGGATAATACATAAAGAAAGGATTCCAGGATCAAATGGCTAAAAATTTTCCTACCAACATTCTCTTGCAGTTATGCTGTGCGGTTAAAGGTGTGAGCTCTGCATGCTATGACACAGAACAAACCTCGTTCTGCTCAAGGCTCTTCTACACTGAAGTAGTGCACCTGATAAAATGCCAGGTACTGCCCTCTTGCTCATAGGCAGCAATTTATCCAACAGAATGTCTGGGCTTACAAACCTTACTTCTTCTATCTTTACTAGACTTTTAAGACACTCTGCTAGTCCATATTAACAGGGTGGTGTTTGCCAGCCACATTAAACTGATAGTTATGACAATGGTTCTGCATTTAATTACCCTTGGTCAGTCATGGGCAGGGGAGAAGTTCATCTACAAAGCTTGTTTTCATCTACATCGCTAAGAGTATTCTTTAATGTAAAGTGGTGCACCAAGATGAACATTCAGTCTTGTGAGACATTAACAAACACATTCGGACTTGATTTCCTAAAGAAGACATAGAGCAGTTGTGTATGGTGGCACACACCTGTGATCCTAGCATTCAGGAGACAGAGGCAGGAGGATTGCACTTTAAGACTAGCTTAAGCTAGAAAGCCATGCCATGTTTCAAGCAAAACAAGACCCAGGACTAAGGACACAGCTTGCGGAAAGCTTTTGCCCACATGAGGCCCTGGAGCAGATCCTCAGCACTACAAAGAGTCCCAGGCAGGCTCTGGTAACAGTCTGCTTTCAAATCCTGACCTCACCACTGCTTTGTGGCTTTAGCTAAATGCTCCCCATCTCTAGAGACTCGGTTTCTTTTTAAGCAGGGCAGTTGTCAGGGATGGTGGGAAGAGACGTGAGCACTCAGCACAAGGCTGGAAAGAGGCCCTGTCAGCGCCAGTGCTGATGACACAGGTGCCCCTTGCTGAGAACCTTGCAGTTGGCTGTGACAGCATCCCAAGGCATCTCAGCACCTCAGGGAGAGAGTAGCCACTCTGGAAAGGTGATACTCATCCACTGCCCCAGTGCCCACTCAATTCCACTCTTAAAAGGACCCAAATTTTGGCTGCGGAGACTGAGCTCCCTCCCCATCAATGCCACTCAGATAAATGCTTGTATTCAAGAATTATATCAAATACCTGAGCCCATAGTTGCCACCCAGCTCAGAAACAATGACATCACCACAGGTATTTTTCCATCCCCAGACCATGGACCAGAGATCTGCAGTGGAAGGCAAGGCAACCCCAATTGTTCTTAATGTCACACTGACCTTCTGCCTCTGAGACCTGGAAGCCACAGCACTGGTGGACATAAATTCTACTGCCTGCTGCTCCAGTTCCAAGGGGATAGGGTAGCCCTCTGGTAGAAATCTGTCTCTTGCCTCCTGGAAGAGAGGAAACCTGGATTCCTACAGAGCTTGAAATGGATGTTGCAGGTTGGAGGGAGGGGTTGATGAGAATCAACAGCTGTTCCACACATCTGGCTCAGCTGGCCCTGATAAGGTTACTAGTGCTGGAGGATATCTTTAGAGGGATTCAGGGTGAGCCCAGGTCCTGAGGCTTAATGAATGGTTCAGGCCATCAGAGCCCTGTGTGAAAGTAGCCCAGGGCCTCTGGGTGGGAGGCAGCACCAGGTGTGAGCACCATGTTCTGAGCTACTTTAAATGCCCAGAGGGTGATACAGAACTGTCCAAGCCACTGGCTGGACTGATTAGCAGGACAGGCACACACCATCCTAGAGGTCCCAGGTCCCAGGGACACAGATGCCCCAGTAAGCGCACTTACGCACAGTGCAGCCCCCATGCTGGCCGCAGGCTGGCCAGGAGGAACACCTAGAGATGCAGCTTACTTTGCTCACAGACTTCTCGGGAATCTTCGACACCTCGGCTGGCTTTCCCTTCTTGGATGGTGTTCTCTTGATCTTGGGAGAGTGGAATTTGTCCATCAGCTTCATGGTGAAGGAGGAGAGATGAGAGCGCTGAGAGTCTGAAAACACAGAGGCCTGGCTGTTAGAGGAGGAGGCAGGAGAAGCTGCATCTTTCTTGTGGAAATGACTAGGGTCTTTAAGCTCGGATTTCCTTCTTGAAAGATTCAAAGGGCAGGACATGCAGATCCATTCTAACACTGCTCATGTGTGTCGAGTTTTGAAATGTCTCCCTGTTTTAGGGTGATTAGAACTGTGAGCAACAGAGGCAGGCAGGATGGGCATTAAGAGCTTACATCAAAATGTCAGTGTGTCCTTGTTGGTTCCATATGAGCATCTAGTCAATGTGCAAGAGAAACAGTTCCGAACACCCATGGACTTGGAGAGGGGTAGATATTAGATATAGCAGCGAAGGCCTTTATAACCAGTCTCCTATTCTTGAGTGTAGGGAAGTACAAGTGACAAATGCCAGGTCTTAGAGGTGGCAGAAAAGACAGAAATGGAAGCAAGATGTTAAAACCCTTCTGGTCTAAGATAAAAGACTGAATGACTTCCCAATAGTCAGACAAGTCAAGGAGGTCTGCTGTCACTGATTCTGGTTGGCACTGCACCAGAAATTTCTTCCAGGGTTAATTAGTAAAGAGAGGGAAAAGGTATCAGCTCAGAGGGAAGAATGGTATGCTCCTGTTTAATCAGGGTCTCACTGTGAGGCTCAGCCTGTGCAGTTCTGGGGTCGCTGTAGACAGCACATGCAGCTCTCTACTTGCAGGATGGTAGATGGAAACTCTTAAGCAACCCACTCAAGAGCTTTACTAACACTGGGTAGAAAGAGAGCTCAATGGGGAGCACAGTGCTTGCCTTGTGTGTCCATAGCCTGGGCTTTGCCCCCAGAACCATAATAAATAAATAAGTAAATAAAATACAAGAGCTTCATGTAGTGGTATATCTTTAACCCTAGCATCTGGGAGGCAGAGACAGACAGAGCTCTGTGAGATTCAGGCCACTATGATCTACACAGTGGGTTCTAGGTCAGCCAGGGCTACATGATAGATCCTGTCTCAAAATAAAACAAAAAACTATCAGTACTAACAAATTCAGTAAGGATACAACATCAACATATAAAAACTATTTGTACTTTTATACAGTAGCGATAAACATTCAAAACGAAAATTTAAAAACCTTTAGTTTATATCAAAAGGAACATTCTTGGACATAGATTTGGCAAGAGAAATTTCACATTTACACTTTGCAAACCAAAAATACTGCTGAAATTCGAAACAACTAAAATATGTGAAAAAGTAGCCCATGTTCTTGGATCAAAAGACTTACTATTGTTACAACAGTAATATTTCCTGGTAACAACTTGTTATCCCAGAGAAGCCTGCTAGCTTAATTCCTTTGGTAAGACTTGACTCTCTAATCCTAAAATTAGTAAGGAAATACGAGAGATCCAGAACAGCCAAAACAAGCAGCAAAGCTGGAGGACTGATATGCCTCAACGTAAAAATCAAGCCACATTAACCAAGGCAAGACTATACTATAGCCTAGACACATGGATCCAAGAACAGAACTGAGACCCCAGAAATAAACCCACATGTCCACGCTGATTTTCAACAAGGATATGATGGACATTGAATGAGTGAAGGAACAGACATTTCAACAAGCAGTACTGGGGCAAGTGGGCACTTGTCTGTAAAAGAATGAATTGGGACCTCTGCCTTACACCACATGCTAAAATGAGCTTCAAATAAGATCTAAACTTAAGAGTTAAAAACAATTAGAACAAAGTATAGGTGGTTTTGTGGCCTTGGATTTGAGCCCACTCTTAGCTGTAACACCAGAAGCACAAGGAACAGAAATAAAAATAGAACTCCATCAACATTAAAATCTATGTTGTAATGACTGCATCAAAGAAGTGGAAAGTCAACCTATAGGATGGAGAAAGTATTTACAGATTATGTATCTGATGAGGGACTACATATAGAAAGAAAAAACATTCTAGGGAGCTCATTCTGAGAAGCTGGAGGCTGAGGCACCAAGATTACAAAATTGAGGCCAGCCTAGGTTATACAGCCAGACCCTGTCTCAAAAAAAATCACAAACCACAAAATACAAAGGGCAACAACAATAAAAACAAAAACATCCAATTAAGCAAACCAGGAAGTCAGTGGGATGCAGTTAGTTCACCAGTAGACAACTTACTTAACTCAACCATGGCCCTGCATTTGCCACTTGCACCATTGCAACATAAACAATAATGACAAGGGCTGGAGATATGGCTCAGCAGTTAAGAGCACTGATTGTTCTTCCAGAGGTCCTGAGTTCAATTCCCAGCAACCACATGGTGGCTCACAACCACCTGTAATAAAATCTGGTGCCAACTTCTGGAATGCAGGGACACACGCAGGCAGAACATTGTATACATAATAAATAAATATTAAAAAAAACCAATAATGACAATAAAACGTTTACAACTTAGCAACAGCGGACAACCTTTAAATGAACAAAGAGGCAGAAAGACTGCAAGTTCCAGGCCAGTGTGAGCTGTGAGTACATGAAGACCCTGTCTCAAAATAAATAAATAAATAAATAAATCCCACCAAAATAATCTCAGCATTTATGAGGCAGAGGCAGGCAGATCTCTGTTTAGTTTGAGGCCAGCCTGGTCTACAAAGAGAGTTCCAGGACAGCCAGAGCTACAAAAAGAGAAACCCTGTCTCGAAAACAAAACAAAATACAAACAAAAATCCAACCAACCAACAAAACCCCCAAATTAATAAGAATTTGAAAAGGGATACTGAGAAAAAATGGGCTGACGGCTCAACCCTGATGACCTGAATCTGACCCCACCCATGGTAGGAGGGGGCTGGCTTCTGAAAGCTGTCCTCAGACCATGGATGTGCTGTGCACACATACACAACAGTGCAGACACACAATATAATAACCACATACACAATAAATAAAATTAATAAAAAGAATTTGAAAAGACATACGGGTAATAAGTACATTAAAAGGTCTGGAGAAATGGCTTAGAGGTTAAGAGCACTGGCAGCTCTTTCAGAGGTCCTGAGTTCAATTCCCAGCAACTATATGGTAGCTTACAACCATCTGTAATGAGATTTGGTGCCCTCTTCTGGCATGTAGGCATACATGTTGACAGAATACTGTATATAAAGCATGTAGGCCTACATGCTGGCAGAATACTGTATACACAATAAAATCTTTTTTTAAAAAAATAGACTTTCAATGTAGTCATGGCTAATCTTAAACAAAAATTACATAAAAAGATGGTCAACATTTGGGGTCAGGTGTTTGATCCCTAGCACTGGAAAAAAAAAAAAAACCCAACCCACCTAACATGAGGAGCACTAAAGACAACAGGAACACCAAGTATTGGTGAAGACTGAGTGAACCAGAAGCCTCATAAGCTGATTGATGCTGGGAATGTAATAGCTGCACTGACAAACACCTGGCAGCTCTTCATAATATTAAAGACACCATTCTAGAAGTCCCATTGGTAGGTGTGTGTCCAAGACAAGTAAAGAAAAACATCCACAGGGTGTGCACAGGACAAGTTCAGAGCAGCAGCTTTCATCATGGCCCAAAGGTGAAAATAACTCAAACGCCCATGTGCCTGTGAATGAATAAATAAAATATGGTATATGCATCTAAGAAATGGTTTTTGGTAATATAAAAGAAAACCAGGCTCCAACCTTGCAATAATATGAATAATCTTGAAAGTATTACCCTATGACAGCAAGACAAGAAAGATCACATATCATGTGATTCTACTTGTCTGAGATGTCCAGAATGGTAAGTCCACAGGACAAAAAACACATCAGTGGCTGCCTAAGACAGCAGAGGGAAGACAGCAGAATGGGAAAGGACCATTAAGGAACAAGGGGTCTTCTCAGGAAGAACACAGATGACATTGGAATCTGATGGTGACTGCACAGGCTGTAAGTCACTGTGCACGTTGAGTGAGTAAACGCTAACATCTCAACCAACCTGACTGACCAACTAACCAACCCACCAGGCAACTTTGTAATCCGCAGCCACCTCATTATTACTATCCTCATTAGGCTACTTCCTGACAGGGATGACGTTCCCTGAGGCCATACCTGTGTGCTCAGTGGGGTGACAGCTTCTGGCCCACAGACTATGCTCAGGAAACACCCAATACCCCCCACACCCGGCAGCAACAACAGAGTTAAAATTGCCTGGAAAACTAAAGAACAAAACATTATTGTGAACCACAGGAAGGTAAGTTATCTAGCTTTGAAAAATAAAAAGCACTCCATAAAAAAATTTCTAACAATTAAGTACTAAAGCAAAAGTTGACCCCCATCAAACAATCAGTAGCTGTATTTCAGGGTTGTCACTGTCGTCACTGTTACACGCAACTTAACAAGATCAAAGTTCTATTTTTTGGTCAAAGACGTGCCAAGTAGTCAGGCAGGCTCAGAAAAACTCTGGCCTCTGAAGATTCCTGGGAGTGCAGAAGCATCAGCAACACACAGCAGAGCCGCCAGCATTCACTCCAACGGGCAACCCAAACCGCCTCAGGCTGGGTGCCCTTGCTCTCCAGGACGGAGGTGGACACTTGCCTAAAGGAAGCAGGACTCAGGGACAGCCCTTGGAGGTCAGACCAGATAAAGGGCAGGACCGTTTATAGTTTACACTTACTTTCCCATACTTCAAGGTTGTGAAGCGTGCCACAGTAGGTCGGTGCAGAGTGTGGACAGGAGTCAGATGGTCACATACTGACATGTGCCTAACTTCCCCTCTCCCTATACATTGGGGTTTTGCCTGCATGTATGTCTGTGTGAGGATGCCAGATCCCCTAGGACCAGACTTACAGAGAGCTGTAAATTGCCATGTGAGTGCTGGGAATTGAACCCTGGTCCTTTGGAAGAGCGACCAGAGCTCTTAACACGTGAGTCATCTCCCCAGCTCCCTCTCTCACTCTTTAAAATGAGGCTGAAAATGCTCTCCCCCTTGATATGGATGGTGTGAAGAAGATTGACAACACTTGCAGGAAACATTGCTCTTCCCATGCTGA